TGGAGGAGTGGGCCAAAATCCCTGCTGCAGTGTGTGCAAACCTGGTCAAGAACTACAGGAAACGTCTGACCTCTGTAATTGTAAACAAAGGTTTCGGTAACAAATATTAAGTTCTATTTTTCTATTCTATCAAATAATTATTTCATGCAATAAAATGGAAATAAATTATTTAAAAATCTAATAATGTGATTTTCTGGAATTTTTTAGTAGATTCTGTCTCTCACAGTTGAGGTGTACCTATGATGAAAATTACAGATCTTTGTAAGTGGGAAAACTTGAAAAATCGGCGGTGTACCAAATACTTAGTTGCCCTACTGTATATACTTTTAATCTAAAATTTTAAAATTTCCATTGGTACTTTATTGGGTTTCAAAGCTTTGAGTCCCAGTGGCTTTGGGGTTCTGCCATTTAAAACCCATATCGGTTAAACCCTAAAGATTTCAGAAGGAATAAAAGAGAGGACTGTGTTTTACCTTGAGCACAATCTTGTTGTCAGAAGTCGGAGTGCGCCCAACCCATAGAGCAAACTTACAGGGGTCTCCTTCAACATGCTCCGTCACCCCCAACTCTGACGTCTGGTTAAAGTGAGGAATAATACCAGCAGATGTCATCAAAATATCACAAGTGAGCCAAGCAGTCTTCTAAAAGGTTTACCTTGCCACTGCACTACAATGGCTATTTGTAAATACTTTGGACAACTGAGATTTGAGACTGTTGATTCAAGTAGTGGCAATAGGATCTACTTGTATTTTGTAAACGATTGCATTTAAAGATATGAACATTAAAAATGTCATCTACCAATCAAATTTTTCAAAAACTTCTATAAACACTGGCTCTTTAATGCATTGCTCTTAATTCAGTTGAAGTAGTTAAGCAAAGACAAAGATCTAAACTTCATTATGTGGATTTTAATCATCATCTGCTTACAAAAAGTTTGCTCTTGTAGATGTATTTGCTCCTGCCATTTGAGTCCTTGACCTCCTTACTGAAGACAAGAGACATCTCAAAGAGGAACAGATGGCGCTCCCGACCCTTACGGATCAGAGTCTTTGGATCCCAGACCTGGAACGACTCCTGAAGAATAAGCTCACCCTGGGACTCAATGTTTTCATCAAAACCTGGAGAAATGAGGGGCATGAAAATACTTAAAAAAAAACAACAAAAAAAAAACACGTCTGATTTATGAAAACCTGTAATTTGATAGAAGGCAAGCTTTCTACAAATACAGCTAACAGTAAAAGATCACATCATCAATGACTAACAAGTACTGTTTGTTAATCACCTTCCAGCATAGAGAGGTGCATAGCATCGTTGGCTTTCTTAGGAACACTGAGCATCACTTCCAGGCCGTCCTTGATCTCACCTTTACCTTCTTCACAGCAAGTGAGCAGCTCCTAAACAGATGCACAGAGACCATGATAAGAAACCATGGAGACAAGTCACCACAGCAGTGATATTTGGTATGGTGGCTTGCCTTCAGGAGAAGCTGATACTTAGTGATCCTCTGCACAGGTTTGATCAGATAGGAAGAAATGGAGTTGGCCAGTCGGTGTCTTTGTTGAATTTCCTGTTAACACATACACACAGAAAAAAACTGTGATGTGATCGGGCAACAGGTAAGCACTATCCAATTCAATTTCAGCAACCACAGGCAATACTCACATCAAAGTAGTTACCAGCATGTTCTAAGATGAGCTGGGTGGAGTCTGGTTTGTTCTTACAGTAGTTCACGTACATCTGGAACTTATCAGCCTAGAAGAAGAGAGAAATTATTATAAATTATTATATCCTGAAAAATGACAAGTGTTGATAATAATCCAAAAATTTAACATGTTTTATTAACTTAAAAGCAATAAATACATAAATTCTTCTATCTGTGAGCTTAATAAGTAAAATATTTGCTTAACTCCAGAAACATTAATAAACTTATAACTCTAAATGTCCTTTGATACAACACAAGATACAGGATATTTTAAATGGATGGCAGGTTTTGCACACTCAGCAAATGCTGGTGAACAAATGACACATACCCATGTGACAAAGCAATGCCCAACATCTTCTGGTAGCTGCTCATATTTCTCCAACTCTTTGAGAAAGATGCTACAAAGACAAAGAATGAGGGATCAAAATCTGAGACTCAGCAAAGGCTCTTAGAGCTTAATGAAGTGCGATTTTAAATGAAAAATTAAAACATCAACTCTGTATAAACCTTCACTACAGAGGAAAATGTAATATAGCTACTGAAGATACTAAACTTTGTTTTAATATTTGATTGTATTTTAATCCGAGTTTGATTCACATCTGTGGTCTTGGACCCTGCGATATTTTGCTTCCAAGCTCAGTTTAAAATTTGATTCGACACAGGGCTGCACTATTATGGCAAGAGCCATAATGATGATTATTTTGGTTAATAATGAGATCGCGATTCTTTTAACATGATTACTCATTGACTTTCGAAACATCACATTGTTGAACTTCAAAAAAATACCTGACTTTTAACCATAGGTTTTCTGGATCTTTAAACATGATTCATCTGAAAAACAAAGCGCTTCATCTGCCTCACTGTCATTGACATTTCAAGTGAAATTACTTAATACCCTAAATTTATTTCACTTATAAAACTTGGCTACTTCAGGTTAACAGTACTGCTTGTAATAACCTAAAGAACTGCTCAGTCTGCTGGACTGACCAGGGCACAGCCATCTCTCCCCCTCTCGTTTAACATTTAGCCTGTTCCTAACAATTAGCTATCAGCTTAACAAGCATGCTATGGTTAACACTGTTAAGTTCCATACATTAAGATGTGTTCATGTACATGTTTATATGTAAATGTTTATGAGTACAGTATTCTGTTTAGGCTTTTATTGTGAAAACACCGGGAGGTCGGTGAGCGGGAGTGCGCATGTGTTGTGGTGAAGATGGCGGTGGAAAATAAAGTTCAACGTTGAGCAAAGAAAGTGTATCGTACTGTTTAACAAACACAAGCTGGTGGCAAAGCTGAAATTATCAAATTGTCTACAAGTTTATGCTCATTTAGCAGACCCCTCACATCCTGGACAGTCTGTTTGAACTCCTCCCCTCTGGAAGGCGCTACACATCAAGCCAAAACACCTAGACACGGAGACAGCTTCTTCCGCCGGGCCATCTCACATATGAACAGTTATTTTATATTTAAGGGAATGGCATGATGCAGTAAACACCGCTGTGCAACAACATACTGATGGAAATTTAGTATCTCTGTTTTAACTTGTATATATGTATGTGTACATTTTTGTCTTCTGGCTTTTCACTTTTTTACTTGTGGATTTTATATTGTTGTGCACATTGGGGGCCATTGGGTTGGAGTCAGATTCCTTGTATTTCTGACAATACGTGGCAATAAAGTTTATAATTATGCTTATATCTTCTGCCAGATTACTTGACTTCTTACTCACATAGGTTTTATTACATGTACAGTAACGAGCTTACGCGTTGTCATCCTGAGTAACGTTTCACTTGTGAGCAAAATATGCTCACACTGTAGAGCGCTGAAGGAGTGGGCTGGATTTAGAACAAAGGCCAAAACGAGTGCACCATTGCGAAATAGAGAGCAGCATAATAATCCTTTTATCTCAATTATTCTGTATTCATAATTGTTGGAAGCCAAAATTGTAATTAAAAATAAAATTCGATTAATCACCCAGCCCTAATTTGACATACATCACAGAATGACACAAGTCCTAAAATGTGTGTCTTACTTATGGTGGAATTCATAGAGGTCCTGCATGTTTCCAAAGATGATGTGCTCCTTGTTTATGATGCCTGGAGGAATCTCCTCCACTCCACTAGTCATCTCCCACAGGTAGGTCTACATGAACAAGATAAAAAGCAAAACCAGGCTCTTCAACAGGGTTCTGATACATTTTCACATTTTGTGTCAAAAGTTGTGGCACAACTCTGGCATGTAACAGTTTAATAGTGGTGGGTTGTGAAGTTGAACTCACATCCATGCACTCCCGCAAGTCTCGCACGTAGGTTTTTTCTGTCTGAATCAGCTCTGCCATGATGAACCTAAACACACACACACACACACACACGATATACAAAATTAGCAACTGTCATACTGTCCTCATCCACACAATGATCAATCACCATGCCAATAGTTCCCTTTCGACTGGTCTCCTTCAATAAATAATGAAAGAGTTACAGGCCATAAAACTTTGTCATGAACCAGCCAGTCTCTTGTGTCTGCAGTTTACGTGCTGACACAGCAAACAAAACACAAAAAGGGACCTGGTATGTGTAAAACATTTAGATCACATATCTACTATGTATGTACAATTACACTGAATTTAGTCTTTTAGGGGTTAATTGTTATCACTGCTGTTGACAAGGACACTGGCAGATCTTTTAAAAAAAGTGGCATAATCATAAAATGGCGACATACTCCTTTCTGCGTGCAGACTTGCGCTTCTCCTCATTTAGCTCATGGGCGGCATCCCTGAGCTTGACCTCAGACCCTGGAGCTGTGGCTGGGATGATGTCCAACTGGAGATCTTTACTCTGACACAGAAGACAACACGAAAGATTAAATGATTCAAAGAGACAGGCCAAGAAAGTGGCAATGCAACTTATTCGATTTTCTACACCTGTAATCTCCTGCCACAACACATGGCTACTTACTGCCTTGTTAGAGTCTGAGGAGATGCCCAAGGCTTTCTCCAGGCTGCAGCGGTACTTGTCCATGCGCAGGGAAAAGTCTCGATAGCGTTTGTCCACAGCTGTCACCCATTTTTTGATCTCCCCAGCGTGACTGTGGCCTTTCTCACAGAAGCCATCAGCCAGCTGGATCAGCAGCTTCACACGCTCCTTGGTTTGCTGAAGGAGAGGATGAGAGCATGTCATACACACACACACCAAAAAAGACATGTTTCTGCGTGTGAGGCCAACCTTGGCTGTGATGTGGAAGTCCTCATGCTCCTTCATGAGTTCCTGTGTGTGGTGGATACTTGACCCGGTGGAGGTGTGTGTGGACAGGTAAAACTCCCCTGTGTCATGAATCCACTCCAGAGCCTGAACACATCAAACACACAAGATACAAGTGCTGTAAGAATACAGGACAACAGAGAGCAGTGGATGAACATGAGTATGTTGCTATATTACCTCAGCTATTCAAGTGTTTTCACTAAAATATATATTTTTCCCTAAATTCTCAAGTACCTGTTTGGCACTGCGTTCAAACACCACATACTGCTGACACTGGTCTAGCCGTCGTTTCCTCATGGTCCAGAAATGGAGAACACGATTCTCTCTCTGGAGCAGCTCATTGAGGATGTCTGAACGCAAAAGAAACAGAGAAAACACCTAATACACCCAGACAACTCGGACATGAGAAGCCGGGTTTGTAATTACCTTAATTAAATGAATGACCTGCTCTTTAATGAAGACAGCAATTTACTTAAATATGTTACAGGTTTATGTCATAGAGTTAGTACATAGGGCAAATTTTGTATTGTCTCCATGAATGTTACAAAAGTGGTTGCTTAATAATTTAATAATGTAAAACGTATGCGATTTTATTAAGGTGAATTTATGAAGTACAAAACATTCCTTCCTTTAACTTTTTCCCATTCATATGCATTTCTTTATCATATATCGTCATAATATCATATGCACCAATATCAATCCCTTCACTGCAGCTCTACTTGAGCAGGATATTTTACAGCTCCTGAAATTCTCTAGATCAGGGTTGTTCCCAACCTTTTCTGTTAGACATACTCCACCACAGCACTTGTTAAATAAACTACCACCATCATAGGTAATGTTTAATGCATTTTCTGATACTCACTTTTAACCTGCTGTTCTGGTGCTTTGACATGGCTCAGCATCCCTGGCATGTTAACGCTGTTCCTGTGCATGTACTTGAGGAAGACGTCTGCATTTCTTCTGGCCAGAGTGCATGCCTGATTGAAAGATTAACATACACTGAGTTCAGACATGTAATTTGAACCTTTCTTTCCATTTGAGTCTGATTTGTTTGTGTTTGTGTTACCTTGAGGAAAGCCTCCTTTTGCTCCAGGTGCTTACTGATCATGGGTGTGACATGGTCCGTTTCACAATTGGGTCCCAGTTTGTCAGCTCCTCCGCACCAGTCCTCCTCTCTCTTGTATTCCTGCTCCAGGCTCTCCAGCACACTGCACACCTGTGCAGACAAACGCATTCAGTCAGTTGTGTGTGGAACAGTGGTGGAAGAAGTACTCAGATCCCTTACTTAAGTAAAAGTGGCAATACCACAATGTAAAAAAAAAAACTATTAAAGTACTAAAAATAAAAGTACTCATTTCACATTAATGTATATCATATTAGTGAATTATAATTACTGAAGCATTATTGTGTTCATCGCGTTTAATGTAGCTGATATACTTATAATTTGAATTACTGGTGGGTAGCTTGTGAATTTTCTACTGGAGATCAATAGTCTTAGGAATATGCTGTATTTTTTTAGTTAACCTGATTCTGAAAAGTAACTAGTGACTAAAGTTATAAAATAAATGTCGTGCAATAAAACATACAATATTTGTCTCTGAAATCTAGTGAAGTCAAGGTATGAAGTAGCACAAAATAAAAAGTACAGATACCTCATAACTGCACTTAGGTATAGTACTTGAGTAAATGTACTTAGTTACTTTCCACCACTGGTGCAGAATACACTAAATGTTTTGGGACACAGAACCAGTTAAACTGAATGGTCTCCTACCTGTTCAGAGGTCTTATAGAAGGCCACGGAGGCGTTGACCAACTTGAGCCTGTCTTCCATTTTCAGCATGAGCTGCTGCCAGTGGGAGGCCACATTCTCTGCACAGTCTCTGATCAGATCCATGTCATAATGGTTGGCCTGGAGCAGAGCCTCTGCCTTCTGCTGAACTTGGAGGGCACTCTGATGGGTCTTCTGCAGAGGCAAGAGAAAGGATAGGGTTAGAATGAACAAATAATAAGCAATTAACTAAATAGCTTTGGACAGAGACCATAATGGAGGAAACATAGGGAATACAAACACGGTCTTACCTCAATGGCATGTTGAAACTGTTCATGTTCTCTCTGCAGTTGTTCAGCTTCCTGCAGGGAGCTAGCTGTGATTAGACCTGCATTAAGCATTGACTCGCCATTACGAATCCAACCCAGAACCTGGAAAAAACAAACAAATAAAAACCGCACAGAGAAAGCTGTGATCAAATGATTTAACCTTTTTTTTTTTAAAGAACTTGCAATTATACACAGATGGTCCCTTGTTTCTATTTATTTTACTAAGTGTCTTACCTGTTTGACTTCAGCCTGCAGGTGTCTCAGCTGGACACACTGTTCCAAGTGCCTGCGATGCTGCTCAGCTGCCAAGTCCAGCTCTTGCTGCTTTTCATGGAGGAACTCCAGGAGGTCCTGAACTCTTGTGGCCATGTCAACATCCCGGTCACACAGCAGCTCCACACCTGGATTTAAGGACACAAGATCACATTAATAAATAAAAACACCCTGTGAATTATATGATCAGAATGCTCCAAATACACGGATCTCCAGTAGAAAGTTCTTTGTGCAGTTTTAGAGAGCACCTATTAGCATGTGAGATCAGAGGTAAGTTATTATGGTTAGTGTGTGGGTACCTCTCATCACAAACACCAACCGAATCTGACCCGTGACACCTACGCACTATCAATATTAAGCAAATGTAGCCAACTCAGAAATCTATGCAGCAACTGTATCCTGTTTGAACCCTCAGCTGGATGATGACTGATGTGGCAAAAGGGTGACAGTCAAACATCGCTTCACTTCTACTTTACAGCACTTGAGATGTAAGAGATTCTTGTAACAGTATCACAAGTGGGCAGATGCAGAACAGCACAGAAAAATGAATTGTTTTTTTTTTTTCTTTAAACTTGCCACTTGACACAGTTGCAGAAAACATTTTCAATCTCAATGGGATTTTTCTGATAGAGACTAAAGCCCCTTTTCAGACATGCACTGGAACCCTGAAATTCTCAAGACATTATCCAGAGGAGCTGTATGTGAAAATGCAAACATCTGAGTCAGTTGACCCAGACCTTAAGCGGACTTTATCCTGCCATGTTCCTAGTACAAAGTCCATGTATTGTCCAAGTGAGCCAGAGAATACAGCAATGTATGCTCTGGAGTATTCACACAGAGCTAGTGGGCGTATTGATGATGTTCTATCATGTGACCAATGCAAAACTGGAAAAATACAAACATCTGATAGTGAATTAAAACGGTTATTTACAATGAAGATGGCAACAACATTATCTAACTAGAGACACGAATAGTCTGGCTTTAAAAAAGAAAAAAGTCATGGATGGGAGTGCACTCACCAGAGGCCTGGACTTCGTTGACGTACTGCAGCAGCTCCTGTCCCTGGTGGATGACATCAAAGGTGAGGTTGTTCATGGTCAGGGCCTTGTCAGCGTGGTGCTGCAGCCTCTGCTCAGCCAGCGTCAGATCCTCTGTGTCAAAATCATTAATTTGGCCTGTAAGCTCCTCGCTCCAGGACTCCAGGTCAGAGATTATCTGAGGAAAAACAATAAGATTCCAGTTTTCAGAGGTCACGCACAGGTTGCCTATTTAGTAAGAGAGTGCTGTAATGAAACAGAAGTGTTTTGTTTTTTTTAAATAATGCCTATCTTAGTATCTCTACAAAGTCCCAAAACCTTCATTGGGTGAGAAATTTATGGAATGACTGCTAAACTTGAAGGATGTAGCAATAAGGGACAAGATGCATGCGGAGATGCATTTCACGACAAGCTGATACAGTATCACCTGATATCAAAACAGTCTGATACTTAGCTTTTTCCTGTGAAGGCAATTTGACCTTACAGACATGTATTTTTTCTTTACACCTTATCCTGTCACTCAAACACATACTCACACTGTACACACTACACTGACACACACCCCTCCTCCCAAGCAGACTCACATCAATAGCATCCCTCTCGAAGATGCGGAGCTGCAGGAAGAGATCCAGTTTGATCTTCCTCTCTTGGAAGAGCTCCTCCATCTGGGCCTGAGCCTCATCCAGCTGCTGCAGGACACTCTCGATGTGGTTGATGGAGCTATTGTGGGGTGTCTTGTTGCTGGAGATGGCCGAGTCCCTGGAACGCAAAAGCACAATTAAGCAATATGCTGTGAGAGGCCGTGTTGTGTACTTTTAAAACAGCAATAGAGATAATGTTGGGCATGCTGCCAAGTGGACTCAGGCTGCTCTTAAAACTGCTACATAGCACAGCCTGCAGTGTTTTTCTTTCGTGTAATATACAGAAAACCAGGAGATTATAAAAAGGGTGATAAAGATAATTTCATTTAAACCAATGAAAATCTGCTTGAAGAAAGTGAGCAAGGTTCGGTTAGGTTTAAAGTTTCACCTGTAGCAAGATTTTTAAGTTATGATTTCTCTTGGGTTTTTCATTCATTTTTCATTTGAACCTTTATTGAGAAAATAAACTGTCCTTGACTCAAGTCCCACACATTGTTGAAAATTCAGCTCTATTACAAGGCTTTTTTAGGCTAAAGATGGAAATAACATCCATGCGTAAAGTTCCAAATTAATAATGTGTTAATAGAAACCTTGTATAAAATATTAGTGGTAATTAATTACATTTAATTGAGAAGTAATTTAAAAAACAAAAACTATACTGTGCCCTTACATACTCTTGGACAGTGTGGCAGCATACTGTATGTTTACACAGCTCTTGTCCCAAAACAAGCCGTATCTGACACACTTTAAAATGATCATAAACCCAGCTTGTTTTAGTATTGACCTATACTTTGAATTTAAGAAGTACATTATCAGAGAGGCCCATTTTTCAGTGTCAACTTAAATTCGCCATACTATTTACATGTTTAAACCTTTGCTTCCACTGATCCAGAGTTGATGCAATTTGTTTATCACTTTGAGCATGCATTTTTAAAGTGTTATCTAACATATCTGCATGGAATTTTCTTTAGAACTGAGTTACTTACAAAGATAGGTAGTGATTTTCTGCTTTTTGGTATTGTGCTATCAAAGTGAGAAGCTAGTTCACGCTTTCTTACTTCAGAGACTGCAAAAGAGTAATGGCTATTTTACCTAAGAAGTACCCTGCGTATATCATGAGGAATACATGTGACACTTGGTCTAGTAGTTTGTTTTTAAGAGTTTTCAGCACATACAAACAAGCTAAACCTGGTTCTGAACTCATAGACATTATGGTGAGAACATGAAATTCATTGTTGGTTAGTCTCTGTATGAACTGTGCCTAAAATTCCCCCCCCAACAAAATTGGAGAAAAAAAAAATCACTGGTCTTATCCAGACTACTTTGTTTCAACCCCTAATTTGGACTGGTGCTAAAAAATATAAGCAAAAATCACACGTTAGACCACATGCTTTCCAAAAAAAGATCCACACCATTTCATATCATTTTTACTACTTATATTTACCAATAATTCCACCTGTTCTTTTAATATCAGAAGTATTACCTGTTGTGTCTAGATGATTGCTCTTGGAGATTCATGATATCAATGAATTTGAATTCCAACCAACTTTATCCATTATTAAACTGTGACATTCTGGTCACAGTCTTACAGTATTACAGGATGCTGGGTAGAAGGCTACAGACATTCAGTCAGTTACATGTTATTCAGTAGGAATGGTGGCAGTGCTGTTTGTTATCACAGAAAGTTTTCAGGTACTTTGCACAGCCTCCTGTTACATAAGATATTCCATTTAACCACTATCAAAAAGTAAATATCATAAAATTAAAAATTGCTTGTAAAGTCAATGCACTTTTATGGTAATTGTAGTATTTTATAGTACAAACATTGCATCACTAAGCACTCAGTATCAGTAAATAGTCGCACTAGGCCTGAAAAACGTGGTATTGGTGCATCCCTAACAAACAGTACAGTCTCTCTTGCACACACTCAAGCAAAAGGTGTGTACAGTTACAGCTGCACCCTGGGGAGGCTGCCACAGAATCAGACATGCGCTTCAGAAAGCAGACTTATGTAAGAATTCACTGTGGAGCCAATACCCTGGAGAGAGATGGGGGGAGAGAGAGAGAGAGAGAGAGAGAGACAGAAAAAAGGGGGTGGATGAAGAGCAAGAAAGAAGAGGGACTAGAACATCCTCTGTATAAAAATAGAGTTTGAAAATGAGGGTCAATTGAATCCACCTCCTTCCATCCTCTCAGCTTTCTTTGTTGGTTTTCATGCATCTCATTATGGTCGCAATTACACCAACAGACCATTCCATTGCACATATTTAGCTCTCTTCACTGTTTACACATTTATACACATCTAAATTCCAAATCTATGCCAAAGATCTACTCAATCATCTTCAGTGGGAGAAAAACTAAGTGATAATTATGTTAAGTAGACCTATATTTTAATTTATTTATTTATTAGGTTTTGTTAATCATTTTCTCAGAGGGCCATTTTATTACTTTTGTGGGGCACAACATGTGCACTGTTTGCTTGTTTTTAACGCTCAACTCTGTTTTCAGTTGTAGTCAGGTCTGTTCATCTCTACCTGAGCTGCTGAATGAGGTCCTCTCCCTCCTTGATGACGTTGACGGTGACCTGTAGTGTGGTTTGCTGCTGCTGGCCAAAGCGCTTGATCAGATCCTGCACAGCCTCCACTGACTCGGCGTAAACGTCATCCAGCAGCTCCTTCTGTAGCTCTTCGAGCCAGGTCCAGAGCTACGAGAGGAGGGGTGTCAGGTAAAGACGTTTATTAGTATGAAGCTGGACGTGTTTTGCAATGTAATTCAATTGAATTACGGCACAGACAGCTCCTATGCTAATGAGCTGGCAATGAGGCTCACACTAACCTGCGCCTCTCAAACCTCTGAGCAGAATACACGCATAATATACATGCACAGATGCTGTGTATCTGAGTTTATACCATTTTAACATGCAAACTTTTAACACAAATGTGATCTCACTTTTTGCCGCTACAAAAGCGATTTAATGATGGCGCTCTGACTTCCATCAGTTCTGAATCTTTCTAGTAATTTTATGGTCACATTAAAAACCTTTACCTAAATCAAATCTTCATACTAAAACAGGGGTGGCCAATTCCAGTCCTCAAGGGCCTTCTGACTGGCTGAACACTCCTGAGCCAGGTAATCAGCAGCAGGCCAGGCAGGGATAGTTGGAAAACAAGCAGGACAGCGGCACTAAAGGACTGGAACTGGCCACCCCTGGTCTAAAATCTATCCCAAATTGTCTCAATTTAAAACTATAATTTGGAAACTGGAGAAAAATGTACTCAGGTTTAAAAAATGTCTCTGCCTGTGACTAAGTGGCTAAAAGCAAAACAATACACACTTATTCCAATGTACCTGTGATTTATTCCCCTCTTGCTCAGAGAGCACTGTGAAAGCTCTCATCCACACCAACACTCAGCCCACCATCCTCTTCAGCATTACATCATCTCCCCTGCCTACCTCTTTGACGTGTGTGTGGAAGGCGACAGACATGTCCAGCAGGACTTTGCGCTGCTCCACACGGCGAACAAAGTCTTGGATTCTGTCTTCGAGCTGGTGGGCAGCCTGGTAGATCTCCTCTGGATCGCACTCTCCCGTCTGGGCCAGCTGTTCGGCTGCCTCCAGCAGCTTGTCTGCATTGGTGTAGGTATTCTACAGAGAGAGATGGATTAACCCAGGAAGACAATGTAATGCAACCAAAATATATTTGGGTGTTTGGACAGAGAAGAGGCAGGGAGACAATTCAAAATGAGATATGCAGAAGACATACACACTGATCAGCCATAACATTATGACTCTTGCTGCAATGTCGCCTGTCAGTGTGTGGGATACATTAGGCAGCAAGTGAACATTCAGTCCTCAAAGTTGATGTGTCAGAAGCAGGAAAAACAGGCAAGTATAAAGATGTGAATGACTTTGACAAGGACCAAACTGTGATGTCTAGAGAAAGAGATAGATACTTTATTAATTCTGAGGGAAATTCAGAAATTACCAAAATCACAGCACACCAAAATAAATAAATGCATAAAAGTGTATGACTAAAATACAAAGTATAAAAAAGTATTAAAAAATATGAAAAATTACATGCAAATTTGTGCAGAAATGAATATTGAGTGCAAGGATAAAAACAAATGGATGACTGGGTCAGAACATCTCCCACACTGCAGGTCTTGTTGGGTCTTCACGGTCTGCAGTGGTTAGTACCTACCAACAGTGTCTAAGGAAGGACAGAAAGTGAACCAACGACAGGGTCATGGACGCCCAAGGTTCACTGATGATCTACTGTAGAATAAACTTTTACATTTCATTCATCCTTTTCAAAAGATTCTATTATATTTGAATATTTTTTTAAATGGGTGAAAATGAGAAATACTATACATTGGTCAATATGAAGAGAAACATTCAGTGACTACAGTGGTGATATCACACCTGTGGAATTTGTCAAAAAAATCATCTCTAATTTGTCCTCACGACCAGTCTTCACTCCATTTACATAAGCTTTTCACTGAATAGTTGATAGTTGTGCTCTTCGTGACAGTAAAACTATGGAAGCAAACAGACTGACAGAAGATGCACAATGAGCTGTAGAGTGACATGAGCACCAATCAACTGTCGCACTGACTCCAACGTACACAGTATCAGGCAGGTGGTGTTAATGTTATGGCTGATCAGTGTACACCGAGTGGGTCAGTGACAGCAGAAACAGTGAGAGGAAATGACGATAGCATGGGTGAAGGCGAGATAAAGAAGATACTACAGAAACAATAAAAATATTAAAGTGGAATATCACTGAGTCAGTCATCAATAGCTATCTCATGTTGGAGACAGACACCCACACACACCCACACTCAGTCCTACGGACAAATTAGAGTCGCCAATCATCCTAAGCTGCATGCTTTTGGACGGTGAGAAGAAGCTGGAGTACCCAGAGAGAACCCACACAGGACCAGGGAGAACATGCAAACTCCGCACAGAAAGGCCCTGGGTTGGCCCAGGCTCAAACCCGGAACCATCTTGCTGTGAGGCAACAGCGCTGACCGCCGCGCCCCTCTTTATGTGGTGTGACAAAGCAAAGCAAAGCACACCAAATTACATAGCACTTTTCTAAACAAACTGTTAAAGTGTTGCACAAAAATATACAAACAAGAAAATAAGATATAAAAAAAACCTAATCAAAAGTTCTTTATATAGCACTTTACATCATCATCAAAAGAAATCGACATGCCTCAGACTGCACTGAAATCAAAATCCTGTGTGAATAAATACGTTTTCAATAAGCTACGTAATAAAGTGAGATTAGCAGCTGTTCTGATGATAATGATATAATAATCCCACCATATCTGTTGTGTCTGCCAATCAAAAAAAAACATTACAAGTGATACACTGGCTTGACACTAACACAGTGACAGAAAGAGAAATAAAATAAACATACCTGTGCCACTTCCTCAAAGTCTTCATGCCGTTTCTGCAGAGCTCGGGCTCGGTGGAGGGACTTCCCCACACCTGTGTGTTTGCTGAGGAAGGCCTCGCCATGGTTCTCTATCCAGTCCAGCACCTGTGCAGTGAGACACATGGTGAGCAATTTAGTAGATGGAAATAGAAAAACATGTTCAATCCAGTTTGTATAACTGGGTGCTGAATTATATAAAAAAAACTATATACTGAGTAATGAAGAGTACAGCAGCACTTCTATAAGTTAACTGTTTATACTCCATGTAAAAATAAACCAGTGACACCAATGTAAGGATAAAGAGTTAACTTACTGGGGTGCTGTCACAGTCTTAATAATATACAGCAATATACAACATTAGGAAATAGGTATCCACAAGGGGGCGCTCTAAGGTGGTAGTGGAGCCACAAGTGTTGCTGATAATCAAAAGAGTGCATAAGAAGAGGGATGACCAAAATAATGATCCGTATTGTATGAGACCTTGCACTGAGCTTTTCTTTTCACACTCCTCTCCCTGCACTTTGTCCTTCATAGTGTTAATGGATGCATTAATGAACGGCATCTGCCTGGACATATGACCCAATTCAGTTGCCATAGCAACAG